CTGGAGATTTATTTTTCCATCTGGAATACCTGATCCTAGTCAAGGCCGGAAAACACAGCTCATATAAACTTCCAGTAGAATGCAACTCTGCTATATCTCCATATTATTCCCTCAATCCTTAAGAGTTTCGCTTCTTTGGTGATACACATCATTTTTTACTCTTTCTGAACCAGCATTATGCCAAGTCTGCACTTGTGGCCAAGAAGGCCAGTGGTATCCTGGGATGCATTATAAAGAGTGTGGGCAGCTGGTTGATGGATATTCTTCTCACCCTCTACTCTGCCATGGTGAGGACACATCTGGAGTACTGTGTTCAGTTCTGGGCTCATCAGATCAAGAAATATAGGGAACTTCTATAGAGAGTACAGCAAACAGCTACAGAGATGATTAGGGGCCTGCTGCACTTCCCTTGTAATGAAAATCTTAGAGATTTGGGACTGTTCAGCCTGGAGAAAAGAAATATATGAAGTGCAGAAATCCCATCAAATGGGTGGGATCAGGCTTTTCTCAGTGGTTCCGAGCAACAGGACAAAAACAAAGGGCACAAACAAACACAGGAAGTTCCATAGACACCTAAAAAAATATATTTTTCTTTGAGGCACTGGAACAAGCTGCCCAGAGAGGTTGTAGAGTCTCCTTCTCTGGAGATGTTCAAGTCTGTCTGAATGCTTTCCCATGTAAGCTACTCTAGGGAACCAGCTTTAGCAGGGGGTTGGACTATGTGATCTCTAGATGTTCCTTCCACCCCTATGATTCCATGAATCTAAGTGATTTCATTTACTCATTTTTGATGGAATTCCAAGGAAAGGAAAACATCTGAGATTCATAGAAAACATAGGCTAAGTCATCATTTCTAATTTTGTCCTTATATTTATTTTCTTTCTACAGAAATGAAAATAGTCATTCTCCACTTGGAGGTTTTGTAGAGTTATCAAGATCTATTTCCTTTGAGAAACAGGTTATATTTTGGCCTTTGAATCTTTGAATTGAAAAGTTAGTGAATTAGGTAAAAACCTATTTCAGCACCCAATGTGAGAACACTTTGTTCTAAATTAAGCAGAGAGCAAAAAATCTTGCATGCCTTTCAGCACTTTCAGGGTGCTGGTTAAGTTTCTATGACCTTGATGTGTGTCAAAGGATTTTTCTTGCTAATGAAGCAAGGTCACTAGAAGAAAATTCTAGAAAATCAAACAGGCAAAGAACATTTCCGGATTCAGAGAATTTTCTTCGGATTTTGATATTATTGGAATGATTTATGATATGATTTTTCTCTTGTGCAGTTGACACGTATCAGCTGTACAGACTGTTCACTGGCACAGTTCTGGAGATAACGAAGGGCAGAGAAAATTCCTGAATGACATTAGACTGTTTGGGAGAGTAAGAGAATTGAACAGTGTTAATGTGAGATATTTCCCTAGTTGACCTCAGCAGAAAAAAAGTCCCAGCTTTGTTTAGCATTGTAACACAGACATGATATTTTGTGTCTTTTGAATACCAGCTCCTATCTCCCAAAAATATTTAGGATTATCTACTCAGAGAATGTTCAAGGTTTAGCCAGTTAACATTTAGCCACATAAGTTCTATAAATTATATACAGAATGTACATTTCCATGTATGCTTCCTGTAACTGGCAGGTATACATAACACTGGACTTGAAGAAGACAACAGTATCAGTTACATAGTCCTTCAACCTTCGCATAAGATTCCAGATCTTAATGTGTCTGTAATTTATGTCTCATTCTAGAAGTTAGTTTGCTTAATAATCATATACTCTCTCTTCTTTATTTGTTATTCCCTAACATAAGAAAGAAGGTATTTAGCATTATTTACAGAACAGCTTACTGTCTTTTGATCTAAATTTACTACTTACAATATGAATGGATAGACAATTTTAATACAAGATTTATTACAAATAGTAAATGACTGTCTATGTTTAGCTGAGCTATTGACAAGTTACTAAATTGTTGTGAGGCCTAGTTCAGTTCCTCACTGGGAAATGTTCAAACCCAACTGTGAAATTTTATCGCATACAAACTTCATAGTTTACACTCACAAGATATCTCAGATAAGGTCAGACATGATGGCAAACATCAATAATGACTTAAGGAATTTAGCTCATACTTCCAACTCTGTGTTTTGAGGAATACAGTAAAAACTTACTAATTTTTAAACTAATAATCTACAGTAGAAAGATAAAATCTGATTTTTCTTAATACACTTTTTGTATACCTAGTTGCAATTTAGTTGTTACAAAACAGTTTCTGTATGTATTTATGTGTGCTTTTATATGTGCTTACATACTCTTGTAATGTTAGTCAAGCTTTGGTAGACTTTGGTATTTCTTTTCTTTATGTATTTCCTTCATTAAGTGAAACAAATGATAAATAACAGTAGTAATTATTAAATATTCCTGTCCTTTACTAAAAAAATAATAAAAAAAATCTATTTACGTAGAATGAAATTTTATTTTCTTTCTTTTATCTCTGAATGGAAAATCTCTTCATGGTTAACTGTGTTGTATAAACAGCAACAGAGAAAATCTTGATATTTCTTATCAAACCAAATAGGGCTTGTGGCTGAATTTCATAAACTTGAGTAGTGTTATAGAGTCAGTTATTGCAGTTTTGGATCATAGATTAATATATAAATTTACTACCTTCTTTTTGTACACAAGTTAGAACACTTCAAATACAAGTAAGACAATTTAAGTTCTTCTGCCTCTGAAGAATTAAATCTGGTGCTAGCAGAATTCTCTTAGCACTAAATATAACTAACTAGCAGCTTTAAGGAAAGCTGACACATTTCTTGTCTTGCATGAAATAATTAAATACTGATTACTCCACAGAACAAGGTGAAAAGTAAGTATGAGTCTCTAAACTTCTTTTTAGACTATTCACCATCTACCTTAAGGCACTTCCCAAATGAAAAATGAACGTAAAATGACAAAAGGCTGGAAACCTCCCATCTGTTCTGATGGGACATGACTCCTTCTGACTTTTGTCCAATGATTACTTAATGCTAAATACATAAAGAATAGGAACTCATATGTTGGCTCTCCACTCGTAACTAAATTACCCAAACTAAACTTGTGGATTCATGATCCTGCTTGTATTTATGTATATATATCTTCTTTTTTGTTATATTCTCTTCTGAGAAAAAAAGAGAAAAAAAAAGAGAAAATTATAACCTTATTTCTTACTGTAAGAACAACAGTAGATGGAGCACTAGTGAGAAATAGATATGTTTGAATTTTCTTAGACCTTAGAAAACTTAGAAAATCCTCCTGATGCAGCATTCTAAAAATTGCTTATCATAGAAATAGGGAAAACTATGTCACCAAAATCCTCATTTTCTCAAGTGGAAGGAAAATAACTTTACTTAACAGATGAATATGTAAACATGGAATTTAGAAAGTATAATTCGAAATTTAATATCTCAATTCTGTGTGAATCACACTCTATGTAACCAAACCCTTAATTTCTTTCATGTATATGAGTTTTCAAAAACTCATTACTTACTCCAGCATATATGCATACATCGAATTACTAAGACTTACTGCATGCTTACATTTTCTAAATAGGACATTTTATAAATTAAAAAAAGAAACAAGCGAAATAAAACATAACAGTATTTCAGTGTGTAATTAGGTGATGTCTATGATTTTTATGTGATATATCATATGCATTTTTTTCTAGAGGTAATACTCCTGACAGTGCTTTTCAAAAATAGTTATTTATTAAATGATATGCTCAATATGCTACTGTCTCACTAATGTTGTTTCGCGTTTAAAATTCAGACAAATTACATGAGCTACTGCAAACATCTTCAAATAATTGTTGAGCAGATGATATTAATTTTTTGTGTATAAACTGATAATCAATTACACAGATTTTTTACTCATGAGGGAGGAGGTTAGTTAATTTGTAAGAGCAATTATTCTATCTTGGACAAGTAGAGTAATTTTTTCACTGAACCTTTAAATGTTGTTGCACTGCTACACAAAATAAAATTTAGTAATTATTACACTGGGTGAGGTAATAGGTCCATATTTTTATATATATTTCTACATGAGAGAAAAACACTCAGATTCATAATCAAATAAGATAACAAATTATTGCAGATAATTATAGGGATCTAGAGATGTGAGAACACTGGCAATCAGATACTTGTAAGAGAGAGAATAACTGCATTTTGTGGCTTGCCTTTGAAAGGTTTAGAAGTATTCTATGAAATTGTGTCAGAATTATTTTACTGCTCATTAATGATCATCTGTGGGGCAAAGGAAATGAAACATTACACTAGTCTTTCTAAAAGACCACACAAAATTTTCTAACATGGCATCACTGAGTGGATTTAAAGAAAATAAATTTTTAAAAAGTAAAAGATCAGTATATTTATTAACTTCAGATTAAATACTTAATTGGATACGGAAAGATTTTGTGACAAAAAGCATGACCTACTGCTGAAATAGGTTAGGAAAGATAAAGTACAGACACAGTAAATTCCATATGTTGGTAGTACTGAAAAAATAGAAGGTTATTGAGACCATTTTTAATTATTTAAGGTTTTTCTCCAGAAATATGTGGCTAGTGCCAGTAATTGATTCTGCTTGTTCTGAATGAAGTTGCTGATCAGTGTTAGTCTTATCTGACTCTACTTTTTTATCATTGAATGAAAAATCCAGATCTCAATCCTGTGTAGTAAAAGTATAAGCACTAAACTACAAAACTACATATGGCCACCTTGTTTAAGCATCCCCTAACTTTTGTCCCCCCAAATAAGTTTTCCTTGCTCCATTTTCTCCCTGGTTTTGGGTAGCTAGGAATACTGAAGGAATCTTCTCACTAGAGACTGAGGGAAGTAAGATATTAAGTACCTCAGTCTTTTTTTGTGTCATTTGTCACCAGAGCTCCAGCCCCATTCAGCAGCAAACCCGCATTTTGCCTGGTCTTCCTTTTTGGTCTTAATTTATTCTTGTTTCCTTTTACATCTCTTGTCAGATTCAACTAAACTCATCCCTGAATGATCTGTACTCAAATCAAGCTGGCAGATGGATGCCTCCAAACCCTGCAGGTATAGTCTTTTTCCACAATAACTGCACTTACTCTTCATGATACTGAGTGGCTCAGGTTGTACTGGCAGTGATGCTTTGTTTGAAGGCAGTCCCAGCTCAAAATCTCTGAGGCATCGATCCAGTTCTGTAGCTGGAAGTTATAGCGTGGGGCACCTTCCACCCAGTGAAAGAATTCACCAGTTTCTAGCCTTCATTATGATGAGATTGCAATCCATTTTGGTATGCACAAGCTCTATCTACTTCTCTCCAGCTAAAGATTCTGGTTCTTACAGCTGCAGATCTGAATGAAGAAGTGGCAGTTTTCTTTTTCATCTTCTCTGATGCTGTGCAGTCTGCTGACCACTTCCCTCAGTTTCTTCATTTGGCAGCACAGCTTCTAAAAAACTGCACACTTATTGCAGGCTAGAAAATGATGTGCCCCAGATTCAATGAGAGACACTGGATACTATCTCCAGTATGAGAATTGCAGAGCTGCGTTCGCTTTCATTCAAGAGCCTGATAATGAAAGGCCACAGTTAATAATAATATATACAGAGTATATATACAGAAAATATACAGAAAATATACAGTAAAATAATAAATATAATATACAGTAAATAAAGATGATTTTGCTTTGTATACAAGCTCACTGTGAATTCCACTATACAGTTCTGTTCAGATCTTCTTTATGCTTGTATAAAATTATATAAACTCTATTAAAATAGTTTATAAAATCATAATATATCCCAAGGTGGAAGGGACCTAAAACACTAAGTCCAATTCTGTATGTCCAAGAAGCATTGTCGAAATGTTTCTTGAACTCTAGTAGGCTTCATGCCATCAAGAAGAGTTCAGAACCTGTCCCTCCACTCCCCTTATGAGGAAGCTGTAGGCTGCTGTAAGGGCTCCCTTCAATCTCCTCTGGGCTGGAAAAACCACATGACTCAGTTGCTTCTCATATGTCTTGTCCCCTAGATCTTTCACCATCTTGATTGCTCTCCTTCAGATGCTCTCTAATAGTTTTATGTCCCTCTTTTATTGTGGCACACAGAACTGCACATAATGCTGCACGAGGGCAGAATAAGGAGGTACAATGACTTATTTCAACTGTCTAGATACACTGTGCCTGATGCATCTCAGGGTATTGTTGGTCCTTCTGGTGGCCAGGGCATGCTTACCTTAACTTACCATCAACCAAAAACGCAATTCCACATCTTTTAAACAATCCTAAATTAACACTTAATGGATGAAAATAATTTTATGTTTTCTTGTACGGGCTGTAAAAGGAAATCCTATTTTTACTGTGTTAATCTATGTATTAAAGTCAGAGAAAGCAGAAATGTCCAACACAAGTGAAATGCAAATGAGTATGGTGAATGGACAAAGGCAATGATAGGACACAGAATCACAAAATCATAGGGGTTAGAAGTGTTCTCTGGAGACCACCTAATCCAAGCCCCTGATAAAGCTGGTTTTCTGAAGTAGGTTACACAGGAAAGTATCCAGACAAATTTTATTATCTCCAGAGAAGCTGACTACAAGCTCTCTAGGCAGCCTTTTCCAGAGCTCTGTCACCCTCAAGGTAAAAATATTTTTCCTCATATTCGTATGCAACTTCTTGTGTTTGTTTGTGCCCTTCACTTTTTCCCTGTTGCTGGGTACCTCTGAAAAGATCCTGACCCATTTGACTTTTGCATTTTATATATTTACAAACATTGATAAGATCCCCCCTCAGTCTCCTCCAGACTGAACAGTTCCTGGTCTCAGATTATCCTCATAAGAGAGATGCAGCAGGCCCCTAATCATCTCTGTAGCTGTTTTCTGTGCTCTCCCTAGAAGTTCCCTGTCTTTATTGATCTGAGGAGCCCAGAACTGCACACAGTACATTGAATATGGCCCCATCATGGCAAAGTAGAATGTGAGGATAGTCCCCCTCAACTGGCTGTCCACATTCTTTTTAATGCATTCCAGGATACCACTGGCCTTTTAGACACAAAAGCATAGTGCTGGATCATGTGATACAATATAAGTCACTTGTGTAAATACTATTATCTGGAAAGTAAATCCAATTGTACTGAATGTATGCTACAAGATATTGGCAGCAGTAAAATTGCAGGAGCGGCATCTGTGAGAAGAGGCCAAGGGTTGCCCCATACTGAACATGCCTCAATGCTTGCTAACAGGAAACTGAAGATTCAAATATTCCTTTCATTAAGTCAATTGAATGAATGTGGGAAACATTTTTATGTATGTCTTATATCACCAGCAACTAACTGGAAGAGAGAACTTGTATATTCTATTTTAAAATATACTTTATTTTTGGAAGGTAATCCCCAGAAAGAAGGCTGCCTTTTTATATAATATGCAGATGGATTGAAATCTGTCTCCAAACATGCTACTGTCAGCCTACTTACCTTTTTGGAGTGAGAAAATTCAGACATACAGATTCACTTTCATCCCCTACTCACTGCTTTAATCAACAGCATGTAGTCTGGAACAAAGGGAAGTAGAAAGAGAAATACAAAAGAGAGTGCATTTTCCAACTCTCTTGTTTAATTTGTCATTATATAGTTGATATAATATGTAAGACTCATGAGAAAAGAATGAGAGAAGGAGATAAAGTGAGAAAAAGAAAACAAACTTAAGGAAGTATGATTCTGTAGCCCACTAGTTAGAATATTTTGTTAAGAAGGAAATCTGTTCTTCACTCTGCTGCTAGAATTCCTTCTGAACTTTATTTAATGATGCATACTAAAAATGTATCTAAATGTTAAAATCTAAAATTAGGAAAATATTTTTGAACTAGATTCTGAGTCAGATGTCTTTTTTGTAATCAACTGGAGTTCCATTTAGCTTTTTCTGCATAACAGGGGTGGCTTCATATTCCAACTTCACATTAATCTTCACATTAATTCAAGACACCTGACTATCTCTGTGAGCTATTTAGAGACTCTTTTCTAAATCAACATGTCTCAAATCAACATATTTTCCTAAATGCTGTTTCCTTATTTGAAGTGATTCTCTGAGCCACCAGCTTTTAACCTGTTCGTCCAGAGTCAGCAAGGCATGAGAGAAGTTTGAAAAATTCTTATGTCAAAGAGAAGCAGGGCCTTACCTCTAAAGAGGATTGATCAAGGAAGATCACTGATTGAATATTACTGTAGAGCCACTGGGTACATTTCTATAGAATGGATTCAAGATTTGAACTGTATCTTGTATTCCAGGAGATGGATAGTTCTGCATTTTGAGCTTGAATGAAATTATCATCTTTTTGCCTTTGGTGGAAGTCCACAGACTGATCCCTTTCTAATGAACAATTATTAAGAAATCAACATAGATTTTTAGAATATTTTTCTTCTTCAGAAGAATGACATCTTATTGATAGCCAAACTATCTTACTTAGTTGGCCTTGCTCAATACGAAGGAATTTTATTTTTCTACCGAAAATAAAAACTAGTAGCAGAATGTGGCCTACAGAAGAGCAAAAATGTTGCTTTTCTTTGATCATCTACATTTCTCTTTCACTAGGTTAATAAGAAAATCTTACCATACAAAAACGAAGATCAACAACTTGAAGAACCTGAACATTTATCTTCTATAGGTCCTAATGAGATGTGTCCCAGAGTCCTAAGGAATCTGGTTGATGTAGCCATCAAGCCACTCTCACTGATGTGAGAAAAGTCATGGCAGTCAGGTGAAGTCCCTGGTGACTAGAAAAAAGGCAATGTCACATCCATTTTTAGAAGAGTAGAAAGGACAACTTAGGGAACTACTTACCTGTCATCCCCACCTATGTGCCACACAGATCAAGGAAAAAATTCTCCTGGAAGCTATGCCAACGGACATGGAAGAGAAGGAGGTGACATGAGACAACAAGCACAGCTTCACAAAGGGCAAGTTCTGCCTGACCAATCTAGTGGCTGGCTATGATGATGTGACTACAGTGAACAAGGGAAGAGATAGTGATGTCATCTGTCTGAAATTCAGTAGCATCTTTGACACAGTCCTCTAAAACACCCTTCTTTCCAAATTGGAAAAATATGGATTTAGTGGGTGGACAGTTCAATGGATGTGAAACTGGTTGCAGTATCATACTCAGAGAGTAGTGGTCAATGGTTCAACTTCTGGATGGAAGTCAGTGACAAGTGGTGTCTCTCAGGGGTCAATAATGGGAGTGATTCTATTTAATATCTTCATCAATGATATTGACAGTGCAATTTAGAACATCCATAGCAAGTTTGTGGATGATACCAAGAAGAATGGTGCAGCTGACAAACCTGATGGATGAGGTACCTCCCAGAAGGCTAGACTGGTTTAAAAAATAGGTCAAGGTGAACATCATGAGGTTCAATAAATGTAGGTGCAAGGTCTCACACCTAGGCCGTGGCAACCCCCATTATCAACACAAGCTGAGGGATGAAAGGATTGATTACAATGCTGACAAAAAATATTTAGGGGTACTGGTGGATGGTAAACTGGACATGAAGCAGCCAGTCATATCCTGGGTTTCATCAAAAGAAAAGTGGCCAGCAGATCGAGAGAGGGGGTGCCCTTTCCTCTATGCTGGTGAGACCTCACCTATGTCCAGATGTGGAATCCTTAGTAAAGGAGAAACATGGACCTGCTGGAGCCTGTCCAGAGGAGGCCACAAAAATGATCCAATGAATGAAACACCTCCCTTACAAGAACAGGCAGAGAAAATTGGGGGTATTTAGCTTGAAGAAGAGAAGGCTCCAAGAAGAAATGATAGCAGCCTTTCAGTATCTAAAGGCAGGCTATAATGTAACAACAAGATGCACACACCACTGCACAAATTTTATTATACATTCTTACTGTGCTTAAATCTAATATTTTCCTAGTTAGATCTTTAGCTGTAGGAAATCAAAGTACATATAGATGTTCCAGCTGGGATTGAATTATAATAGACAGCTGCTCCCATTAATTTACTGCCTATCATCTAAGACATGATGACTAATGATTTGAAAGTTTTTC